GAGAGTTTTCAGAGAGAAGCTCGTGGCTTCTGCACTAAAAGAAGGAAGCTGATGGGGTGGGAGGCTTCGGGGACTAGATTCGCTGAATTCAAAGAACTGGTGAAGCAGGAGGGCCAGAGTGACGGGACTAGCAGACGTGAAAGCTGTGGTCCAGGAGGGGATGTGTGAGTGTTCAGTTTCCACTGGAGCAGTTGTGGATGCCTGTGAGTCCCGGAAGCTGGTGGTAGTGATGGGGGCCGCCGTGGAGAGCTGCGGAGGGCAAGTACTGAGGTGGGATGCTAGGTGGAGCCTCCAGGTGCATGCTGAAACCAGGTAGCATGATTGCAGGTCTTGGGGTGCAGAGAAGGACTGCGATGTGCTTAGTCTTCATGTGCTGATGTCTGAAAGGAAAGAGGAGGAGCCACCCGGAGGTTAGAAGACTAACAGAAGCAGAGGGGTAGCGGGTGGACAAGGCTGACGTCATGAATCTGGAAGGAGCTGGGGTTAGAGGAGAGGAGGGCTCCTGAGGACAATGGCAAGCCTGCCTCTGACCCCTGGCGTGTGGGATGTGGAGGACAAGCTTCTCGTCCAGAAGAGCTGCTGCCTGGGAAGCAGCAGGTCAGGCTGATGTGTTAGCTCAGGGGCTTCGGGAATTTCTTAAAGGAACTGAGGGTGTGGGAGTTTGTTTATTTCAGAGCGGGCATTCCGGAGGGCACCCCGGGGGAGATTAAGAGGGAGTGGAGCAGGGGGCTTAGATTGTGGGTGAAGGGGACAGAGAGGAGAGGTGACCAGAGTGGCTGGGAATTTAGGTACTGGCCAAAGGCAAGCAGGATGGGATTCATGGTGGGACCAGCCCAGTGACAGGAAGCCAAGGACTGAGTCTTCCCGACCCAGTGGATGGGGTTGGGGCTGGGGGAGACGCTGGAAGGGGTCAGCGTTGGCCTGGTTGGCTGTGTCTCTAGGCACCCGCGGGGGACCAGCCCTAGAAATGCAGACCCACGGTTCTAAGCAGACCCAAGGTTTCTGCAGGTCAGGAAAGAAGATTGAGCAGTGTAAGCAGCAGCTACATCTCCATGCTTGCTTCTCTTCCAGGGAGCCCCGGTGTAAGGAAACTCCACACCCAGTTGCCTGTGGGATGGAGAGCGGTTCCCAGTCCCCTGCACTGAGACTCACTGCCTAGGGCCGAGTTCAGCCCAGTGCCTTCATACATCCCCCCTGCTATTAAATTTGCCAAAAATCCAAGTTACATAAGCCTCTCGGGAACACACCTACTGTATAAAGTAGGGATGCTTTCCATTCCCTGGGAGTCTGGAAAGGGGTTCATTGTGCCCAAGGAAACTGGAGAAGCGCACGGAGAAATAAACGCTGAAGCAGTTGCCTCCCAGGGTCATGACAGCAGACCATGGAAATATGCTTTTTCATTTCCTCATGTTCCAGGGCTCATGTGCCTTGCAGCTGTGATTTATTTTCAGAGCACACTTTGGAATTTGACAGACGCTCACGCTGGCCTGCTTCACAGCTGAAACCATTTGCCATTTGGTAGATGATAAAGCAAGTGACAGTTTACACTAAAACAGCCATAAAAAGAAGATGTCTGGGAGTGAGACAGACAGGTGTCAAACCTGGGATGCAGACGGCACAGAACCGGCGGCCGCCTGGTGCCTCCTCCGTGGTGGGGGGTGCCAAGTTCCCCTCAGACTGCGAGGCCCGGGTGGGGCCCTCGATGGGCTTGAACTCGGGGGTACACATCCTGCTTAAAGATGAACAGATCCGTGGTGGGCATGATGGTGATTACTGGTGTCTGGAGCGTGCTGTACACCTACGGAGCCCTGGTCCACGTGGGAAGTGAGGGCCACAGTGTCCCCACTGCTGCTGCGGGAGCTGGGGACAGACAGCTGACATTGTCCACAGCTAACTTGCCCAGGGTCACACAGTAAGTGAGGGAGGCAGGATTTAAAGCTAGGTCCGTGTTCTCAGCTACTAGATTTCTAGATTGAGCAACGGAGTAGTGGCGGTGCCAATGACTAGGGTAAGGAAGTGTGGAGAAAGGGCAGCTCTGGATGCTTTGGGCAGGAAGACAAACTTGGTTTTGGATTTGTGAAGTGAGATGCCCAAGACAGTTGGACACAGAGGAGCTTCCCAGAGGTCTCGCAGGAGATGCCATCTCGGTGTCATCAGCATGTAGGGAGTGGTGGAGCCCAAAGAATCACTGAGGGTCCTAGGGAGAGTGAGGGAGAAATGGAGTCCCCTGACCAAGAGCACCAACAGCCCCGGCTGGTCTGGGCTGGGGAGAAGGAACCACCACAAGGGCTGAGAGCCAGCCAAGGAGAGGTCCCAGGGTAAGACTGTTCCAAGGAGGATGGACTGGTCGAGGTCAGGGACAAAATCAAGAGGGACTGAATAGAGTTTATTAAATGTGGCAACAGACAGGGACCCAGTGGCTGAGGCCAGAGCTGCAATGTGAGCTGTAGTGAAGGCAGGGTGCAGGGACCAAGCCATCGGGAGGACTGGGGCGTGCGGACAGGATGCTCTGACTGCAGGTGGAGAGAGAACAGGAACTTCAGGGTCAAAGAAGGTTTTTGTTTTTATTTGTTTTCCCCCCACCCCTGATGAAAGCGATTTGGTGGTGTTTGAATACTGGAAGGAGCAGGTTGTGGGGAGGGGAGAATATAGAGATAACGGTTTGGGAGGGGTCTGGCTGATGGAATAAAGCCCGTTATGGGAGGGGAGGACACGCTGAGGTTCAGATTTCTTCCTCTGAGATGAGAGCAAGGTGGGTGATAGATGCAGATGAGTGTGTAAGTGTTTTGACTTAGGAACAGAGAGATAAGGAGGTAACAATCCATTTATACTAGCATATGACTTAATGCCAATTTTGTTGAAAAGTCCTTTTAAGGATGGGTAAAAACTATTCAGTTCAACTAGCATATACAAGTGTCATGGGGGTTCCAGGACCCTCACGAATATCTAAATCCGTGGACTCTCACATCTCTCACATAAAAAGGGTGTAGTATTTGCATATAACCAACACACATCGCTCCTATACTGTAAATCATCTCTAGATTACTTACAACACCTCCATGTAATAACAGTGTAAATGCTATGTAAATAGTTGTAAATACAATGTGAATACTATGTAAATAGTTGTTTCAAGCTTTGCTTTTTGCAACTTTCTGGAATTTTTTTGCCCAAATATTTCCCATTCGTGGTTGGTTATATCTGGGAACGTGGAACCCGCGAATACAGAGGACTAAGTGTCTGCTGAACTAGGCACTGTCAGCAGTGCTAGGACACAGCATTTTTAACCTGATTCCTTTCTTCAAGATACAGACCTCAAGGTCAAGATGAATGAACGTGTAGTTAAATCATTATGATACAATGTGGAAATTGTTATAAATTTCTATTTCCTCCACCAGCCAGGGAGTAGACCTGAATCTTGCTCATATTTGCATCCCGAGCTTCACTAGATGCCTGGCTCATGAAAAGCATTGAATGAATGAGTAAATGAATGAATGAAGAAATGGACAGGAAGCTCTATGTGAAGAACCTAGAGAAGATTTCCCAGAGGTTGTAACACGTGAACTGGTCCTAAAGAAAGAGTAGAGTTCCCGAGGATAGCAGTTCACTTGGAACAGAGTGAGAATTCCTGGCAGAAAGGTCCAGATCTGCAAATGTGTGAGGGCACAAGGCACTCACAGAGATGCATGCCTGGTGAGTGCATTGGTGAGGCTGTGGTCCTGAGCTGCACTCCATACTCTGGGAAGCCGCTAACCACATCTGGTTACTGAGCACCCAAATCAGAGCTCATCAGAGTTGAGAGGGGCTCTACATGTAAAGTAGATGCCAATTTCCAAGACTTCGTATGAGAGAAGACTGTGAAATGTCCCATTCATAATCCTCTGCACAGATTACATGTTGAAATGATAATACTCTGGATATATTAATAAAAGTAAACCTCACCTGTATCTTTCAACTTTTTAAAAAATGTTCCTGCTAGAACATTTAAAATGACATAGGTGACTCTTAGTATGTTTCTCTTGAACAGGTAATGGGACATGTAGGGGAAGTGAGATTGGGTGGCAGGCAGGGGCCAAGTCATGAAGGTCTGTGTAAGGAGTTCCTGTAAGCAGTGCAGTTGAAGCCAAGGAGGGCAAGTCGGTTATGTGTCGTCTACACAGCCGTCAGGCGTGTGAAAGAGGGACTGAGGAGAAAAGATGCTGCGGGTTCAAAGTGAGTGAGTCTCCCTTGAGGCATGATAAGCCAGCAGCAATGAACAAGGCAGACGAGATGGAGAGACAGACTGAGTGTGCAGGAGGTGAGGGACAGACATCTAGGATTCCGACTTAGATTGCTGGTTGATGGAGATCCTTTCGTCGGTACCTGGAGAGGAGCGGGTGACGTCACGCTGCCTTTGAGGTGTGCAGTCAGCTGCCGGTGGTTTAGATCTTGGTGCCTGGGGTGTAGATGTAGAGTCATTAGTGTACAGAGGTGATGATCAAAGCCTCGGAGTGGATGAAATGCATAGGGGATGCATTGCAGGGGAAGGGAAGATGGCTGAGATCGGAGCCTCGGGGGGATGAAGGGGTCAGACAAGGGGAGAGTGGAGAGTGCTTGTCAGAAGCCAAGGGCAGGGAGGATTTTTGAGAATCATTGTGCCATCGTGTAAAGTTCAGCAAAACAGTCAGATAAGACAAAGGGAAAACGTGTTTTGGATTTATGGTGAGGAAGTTGTTGGTGACCTTGGTGGACACCATTTCTGTGAAGTAGTCGGGGAGAAAGCCAGTTTGGAGTGACCTGAGGTGATGGAATTGGACAAAGCAGAGACAGCAAGTGTGGACCACTCTGAAGAAAACAGGGCATTTAGAATTGTGTGGATTTGATTGCTTGAAGAATGTGGGAAATTCCAAGAAACACACAACTTGCATGGCCCCACTTGTCCTCGTTGGCAGAGCTCTCCCCGCACCTGCGCCCCCGTAGTCAAAGGCAGAGGCTTAGCAGATGTCCTTCTCTCTCTCCCTCAGGCCGGATCTTGGACCTGAAGACTGGGACGGTCAAGAAGGAAGGGCAGCAGTCGTCCATGAGGATGTGCATGGGTTCCCGGCGGTCCTTCATCTGCAGGATGAGGTCTGTCTGGGGACACGTGGGCTGGGGCTGTGGTCGGGTTGCTCCCTTCTCATCTGCCGTCGAGTCCTGATGGGCTCTGCTAAGATCACACGTTCACTGCAGGGACTCATCTCCTGGCTCAGCATGTGAGCCTCCAGACTTCGTGATCTGTCTTGGCAGAACCTCCCCCTTCCTACCCTTCCACCAGGTCTCATTTCCCACCACTTTCTCCCCATTCCTAGACGGGCCTCCCCTTGTCCCCTGCACCTCAACTTTCTCGCTGTCCTTCGGGGCCCTTTACGACTCCAACCTCTCCAGGTTCTGTATTTCTCAGCGTATTTTGTGTAAGACCTACCAACTCCATACTTGCTCCTGTGGTTCCTTGTGCCGGCTCGTACATGTTAAATTCACCTTTAATTATTACATTGTTGATATTCTAAGTGCACGTGTTTTGGCTCTGTAAGTAAGTTATAATTGCCCTGAGGTTAGGGGCTTTGATTTGTGTTTACTCTTTGAGCCTCCCGAGACATCTGCGTACATTGGTTAACACATGGTTGTCAAAGAAGAGCAGAAGAGACTGCACTTCGGGGTAATCAGGGGATTGCTCTGTCTCTGAAAAACAAAGAGCTGGGATCTTGAATCCTCGGATCCAAATCCGACTTCCCTGTACCTTCAGCCCTGAGGTCCCAGAGGGCTGGGTGGCATTGGCTGCAAGACAGGAGGGACAGGACAGAGTCAGTTCTGTCTGGGGTGTGGAATCCCCAGGGCAGTAACATGAGGCCGTGCCTCCCATTTGTTCTTCTGTTCATTCATTCAGTTACTCAACAAATTTTTATTGAGGGCCCGCCGATGCCAGGTGCTTTTCAAGGCGCTGGGGGTTCAGCATTGAATAGAGCATCAAATCCCAGACCTTGTAGAACTTTATTTTAGAGCAGGGAGAGACACGATAGACAAAAGTACCAGGTAAATACATGGCACGTCACAAGGTAATAAGTGTTACGGAGCAAAATAAAGCAAATTCAAGGCGTAGGAAGTAGTTGGCCTTGTTAGTTTAATGTTATGTAGCATGGTTAAGGGAAGGCCTCATTGATAAGGTGACATCTGAGTAGAGACCTGGAGGAAGTGCGTAAATGAGACCTGGATACCTGGGGAAAGAGAACACCTGGTAGCAGGAATAGCAAGTGCAAAGGCCCTGAGGCAGGAATGCTCTTAGCATATTCAAGGAGCAGGGTGAATGGGGTGAAATAGGGGACGGATGGTACGAGATGAGCCCAAGAAGTAGAAGTATTAGATCAGACCACCCTTATAAAACTTCCACTTTTACTCTGAATGAGATAGGAGGCCACTGGAGTTTGATCATAAGTGTAATATGTTCTAAATTACCTTAAAAAAATCACTCTAGCTTTGTGTGGTGAACAAACCTGCAGGGGGAGAACAAGGGTGGACATGAGGAGGCTGTTGTAAAAAACCAGGTGAGAAACGTCATAATAGTGATTATGGTAAAATGTGCTCAGATTTTGAACGTACTTCAAAGATAGAGCCAGCCCTGTAGGGTATGAGAGAAAAGATTCAAAGGTAGATCTAAAATGTTTGCCTGCCCAACCAGAAGGAAGTTGCCATTTAGCAAGATGCAGAAGCCTGGGGGAGCTGATTTGAGGTTAGAGGGAAGTTTCAAGCGTTTGAAGACTGAGATGCCTATCAGACCTGTAAACGGAGAGGATGAGTAGACAGTTGAACATGTAATTCTGGAATTCATGGGAGAGGTTGGGGCTGAAGATAGGCGCTTGGGGACTGACATCAGTGAGATGGTATCTAAAGCCTCCAGACTGCATGAGCTCGCCTGGGAAGTGAGTGTGAATAGAGAAGAGGGCAGAGCTCCGGGCCCTGGGACCACTCCTGCATCGGGGAGGCGAGGAAGAACCTGCAGAGGCTGAAAAGGAGCGGCTGGGCCGGTGTCCGTTTCTAGGAGGAAGCTATGATCCCCTGCCAAAGGCTACTGATGAGTCCCGAGTGTGAGGACTGAGGATCAGTCACTGGACCTCAGAGGGAGAACCAGCAGCAGGCTGAGACCCCCCTGCCCCAGGAGAGAAGCCTGTCCCCGCCGCCCTGGGCACATGGTCTCCCAGCCTCTTCTCCAGCACCTCTCCTGACAAGTCCACTCAAGCCCTCACCGATCTTGGTGCAGCTCCAGCGTCTCCTGCCCTCTCCAACCCTCCCCTCCTCCCTGCCAGGTGCCCGATGCTCCGATCTCAGGGCTGGGCACGGTGGAGCCGCTCACTAATGCCACTTCCTGCAGCTGTTTGCTGCTGGGACTGGGACTTGCCACTCGAGCGTCTGTTGGGTGCTATGAAGTTCCAACAATCGATGCTTTAAGATACGCTTATATTTTCACTAATGTAAAGTAACCTTTAAAGCAGCTAGACTTCTTAAACCTGTTCATCTACAGGCTAGTCCATCTCAGGGACCTGCCTCTCTAAGCTCTAGCTGGGCCCTGGGAGCCAGCAGGGGATCTGAGTGTGGCTGTCCTTTCCTCCAAGTCAGCTCCTCTCCCGGCTGAGCATCTGGAATTCTTCCGGAAGACACGGATGGAATCCCCTCCACCACCTGCCCCAGGTGGTCAGATGGTGTTGGAGTGACAGTGCGAGAGCAGCTCCACGTGACTTAGCCTTGTGTCTGCACAGACTGCCTTCCCTCTGTTCAGCCGACGGGGGCAAGCTGGGTAGTTGGACTCACATGTATTAGGGTCCATCCAGGGACAAAATGCCATCAGTTAATGTCGTCCAGCACAGCAAGGTCTTTCCTCAGTGCTCTGGTCAGTGGAATAAATGCCCATCCTAGTTTGATGGGCATTCAGTACAGCACCAGCAATGTGAATTCTTCACTGCACCATCTAAGCAGCTCCCTTGTGAGTATGTTTATTGGAAGCCTCGGGGACACGATTTCTATGAGTAGCCTCCAGTGCCATTGTCACTGTCCTATCAACCAGATGCAGGCAGTCCCCTCCCTGCCCTGGTGCCTCCCAAGACATGCTGGAGGCTGCCTTTCCCAGTGCCAGGCCCACACTACCTGGCTTGACCTGTGAGGTGAGCAGCACTGCCGTCTGCTGAGAGCGTGGCCTTGTCCTCCAAATAAAGCAGCTTAGTTTCATGAAGACACTGGGTCTGGTCTGCCAGAGGGCAGAGGGCCATGCCAGCATCCCCAGCAGCAATGTCTCGGATTCACTCTCCTATGAAAATGTGCTAGTGCTGGCAGCTGTCCCAGGTCTCAGAGTGTAACTGGGCTCTTTATCTTTGCTGTATTGAATATTAAGGCATCCAGGATATTACTTGCCGTGGAGTTGGGAAATGGAACCACATGTGAAAAGTGGACACACCAAGGAGAGGTCAGAGCTTGGCCACCGTGCAGGCTTTGGATGTTTGGAGCGTGGGATGCTGAGAGGGTCACTGAGAAGGGAGGCAGAAAAGGTGCTACCAGAGTGGGCAGCGGGATGCCGCATGCCCCCTGCTTCCCAGAGAACGACTCACTGAAAGACCTGATTCTAGACTCATCCTTCCCTCTGTCCCCACTCTGTCCTGGCATCCGCAGGCTTGCAGCTGTCTGGTCATTCCTAGTGCCAGAGCATTGCAGGGAAGGAGGGAGTTTCCACACTGTGAAGCTAAAGCCAGAGAAGATGCTTCTGTTCATCAACTGGCAACATCTGTTCTGTGTTGATGTCTCTGCTCAGGCCTGAAGAGACACTATTGCTGTCATCATCCCCTTCCCTGGTTTCCTGAAAGCCACCCAGTTACACAGAACCAATCTGCAGGACAGAGCATGGCCAGGCTCCTCCGAGAGTCCTTCTGTAGGTCTCTGGCTCCTGGGCTGGGCCCTGAGGCAGTGTGTGTGCATTGCAGAGTGGGCCGCATGTCTCTTGCCTTCAGCGACAATCAGAATTCACAGGCTTGCAAGCCTGCTTCTGCACTGTGGAAAGAAACTGGCTGTAGGACTCACCTGAACGATACCTGGTGCCCGCGCCAGGTACAGCGCACCTACTTGGCTGCAGCCCTGTGTGCTTTATAAACTTGCCTAGGTCTCCACTCATTCTAATGTATCTATCAAATCCTAGGTGTGGAAATGCTCCTTTGGACCACCTTCCTCTAAACAGAATAACCACCATGCGGAAAAGGTTCAGGTCAGTAGGCCTTTCTGATGTATGCTTTGGGGCTGTGCTGGTGGACGGCATGAATGCACTAAGCTAGGGAGCAGCTGAACTTGGCAGCTATCCCTTAGAGGCCTAACATGAAGGAGGGGCTAAGTGTACAGAAGACCAGGAGACTGTACATCAGGGTGCAGTGGCTAAGATGAAAAAGGGACGGGGGTGGATTTATTTTGGGCATTCAGACCATGTAGGAGGAGGGAAAACAGGATGGTGGGAAGTTTAAGATTCGAAAACCCAAGGCCAGCAGTAGCTTAGATACCAAAGGACTCATGGGCATCCTGGCCTCGCCCCCAAGGGCTGAAAGTGACCTCACAGACATCCTTTCTCTAGGAACGGCCTCGGCCCTGTGAAAGAAGGAGAAGCCCAGTACGCCGTGGTCCACTGCACAGGCTACATCAAGGCTTGGCCGCCAGCAGGTAAGCGGAACCTGCACGTTCACTCCCGGGGGATCGGATGCTGTTTCAGTCCCCGTGGTGTCCTGTTAGGAACGCATTCTTATAGCAAGAGACAGGAAAATACTCTCATTTTCCTTTGTAGTCGGACATAGTGATCTCTGTAACTGAAAAAAAGTCCTGCTACTTGAAACAAAAGTCTCTTAAAAAGAGCGATCCTGCAAAGGGGATTGGAGCCTCACAGGCCCTTTCTGTGGTCTGTCACCTAGAGCACTCTGCAAAGGCAGAGGGCCATTTGAAATGACAGTTGTATTCAAGCCATTAGAGAAATGCGAATCAAGACCCAGAATGAAATACCTCTTACACTCACTAGGGTTAAAATACACAGACAGTAACAAGAGCTGGTGAGAATGTGGAGCAATTGGAACCCTCGTACTTTGCTGGTGGGGATGTAGAATGGTGCCAGTGCTTTGGAAAACAGTCTGCTCCTCGAAATGCTAAAAATAGCGTTACCATATGAGTCAGCAGCTTCACGCCTATGTATATACTCAAGCTAAATGGCGGCATATGTCCACGAAGAAGATCGTACTGAATGTTCATGACAGCATTTTTCATAGTGGCCAAAGACCAGAAACAAATCACATGTGTACATCAACTGATGAGCAAGGATAAATAAAAAGTAGTGTATCCATATGATGAAATATTACTCACCAGTGAAAAGCAATGAAGTATTGATTCATGCCATAATGTGGGTGAACCTTGAAAACATCACGCTAAATGAAAGAAACCAGACACAGAAGCCCACACTACATCATTCCATGTATGTGAAATATCTAGACATTGAGACAAAAAGTAAACAAGAAATCGATTTGTGTGTGTGTGTGTGTGTTTGTGTGTGGTTTCCAGATGCTGGGAGGGAAGAAAAAGTTGGGAGTGATCGCTAATGGGAAAGTGTTTCTTTTCGAGGTGACAGAAACATTCTAAATTTAAAAAGCAATAATAGTTGCACAACCCACAAATCTACTAAAAACCACTGAATTGTGTGCTTTAAGATGGCAAATTTTATGGTATGTGAATTACCTCTCAATAAATCCATTGTTAAAAGAACATATGCAATGTTAAACATCTGTGGACACTTTATGGCCTGGAATGTGATCTGTCTCCGTGAAGATTCCGTGCCAGCTTGAGAGCAGTGTGGATTCTGCTGTTGTTAGATGGAGCACTCTTTAAATGTCGGTTAGGTCAAGTTGACTGACGGTGCTATTAAGGACAACTGTATCCTTATTGATTTTTACCTGCTTGACATATCAATTACTGAAGGAAGGATGTTTTAAAGTCTCCAGCTGTTGTATTGGATTTGTCTGTTTCTCCCTGCAGTTTTATCTGTCTTTGCCTCACACGTCTTAACGCTCTGTTGTTAGGTTCATACGTGTTCAGGATTATGTCTTCTTGGAGAAATGACCCCTTTGTCATTATGCAGTGCCCTTCTGTACCACTGATCAGTTTCCTTGCTCCAAATTCCGCTCTGTCTGAAATTCCTGTAGCTACCCCAGCTTCCTTTTGATTAGTGTTAGCGTGGTCTAGCTTTCTTATCCTTTAACTTTTGACCTAACTGTGTCTTTATATTTAAAGTGAGTTTCTTGTAAACGACATACAGTCGGGTCAAGTATTTTTAATCTACTTAACAATCTGTGTATTTAAATCATTCACATTTAATGTGATCATTGATATAGTTCGATGAATACCTAACATGTTTTCTATTCATTGTACTTATTCTTTGTTTCTTTTTTCTCCCTCTCTCTCACCTTCTCTAGTTTTCATTGAGCATTTTATATGATTTTCTTTTCTTTTCTCTCTCAGCGTAACAATTACATTTCTTTAAAAATATCTTTATTGTTTGCCCTAAGTTCAAAATGTACATTTACAGCTAATATAAACCCACTTTCAAATAATATTATGTCACTTCATGGGTAGTGCAAATACATGATAACTAAATTTTCCTTCCTTCCTCTTTCCCATCTCTTATAATACTGTTCTCATTCATTTCACTTACTGTCAGCGCCCAATACAGTTGACCCTTGAACAACACGGACTTGAACTGTATGCGTCCACTTATATGTGGAGTTTTTTCAATAAATACACATATGCACTGTAAATATATTTTCTTCCTTATGATTCTTAATAACGTTTTCCTTTCCCTAGCTTACATCATTGAAGGAATACAGTATACAATACATACAGCATACAAAATACACGTCAGTTGAATGTGTATGTTATGAGTAAGGATTCCGGTCAACAATAGACTATTAGTAGTTAAGTTCTGGGGAAGCCAGAAGCTGTGTATGGATTTTTAACTGTGTCGGGGGTCAACACCCTAGCCCCCACAATTTTCCAAGGGTCAACTCTGCACTGTTACTACTGTTACTTTAAACCAACAAAAATCTATTACCTCAAACGAGAGTAATAAAAATAAACGCTTTTATTTGACCTTAATTTGTTATTTCTCTGATGCTTTCCCTTTGTTTGTGTAGACCTGGGCTTCTGATCTCTGTCATTTCCTTCTTCATGAGGAGCTTGTCGTGACATTTCTTGCAGGACAGCTCTGCTGGTCATGAATTCTCACCATTTTTGCTTTTCATAGAAAGTCGTTGTTTCTCCTTTACACTGGAAGGATAAATTTCACTGGATATAGAATTTGAGGTTGGTGGTTGTTTTCTTTCAAAACTTTTAAATATTTACTTCACTTCCTTCTTGTTTGCATGGTTTCTGACGAGAAGTCCATGTAACTCCTGCCCTTGTTTTTTATAGGTAATGTGGGACGTCTGGTTTTTCTGACTTCTTTCAGGATTTTTGCTTGTCTTTGGTTTTCTGCAGTTTGAATATGATAGGCCTCAGTTTAATTTTGTTTTTGGCTGTTTGTACTGCTTGGTATTCTCTGAGCTTCCTGGAGTTTTTTTGTTTTGTTTTGTTTTTTAATTCTTGGACATTATTTCTTCAAAGATTTCTTTTGCTCCATTCTCTTTCTCCTGTTGGAATTCCAATTACGTGTAAATCCTTTGAAATTGGGCTACAATTTTGGAGTATTCTGTTCTGGGTTTTCAGATTCTTTTTTCCTCTTTGCATTTCAGTTTTGGGCATTTCAGTTGCCATATCTTCAAGCTCACTGATTCTTTCCTTGGTTTTGTCCAGTCTACTGATGAGTCTGTCAAAGGCATTCATTTCTGTTACAGTGTTTTGTTTTGTTTTAATTTCTAGCATTTCCCTTTGATTCTCAGAGTTTCTATCTCTCTGCTTACATTACCCATCTGTTCTTGCTTTTGTCTACTTCTTTCATTAGCACTTTTAACATGTTAATCATAGTTATGTTAAATTCCTAGTCTAGAAACATTATGCTGCACACCAGAAATTGACACATTGTAACTGACTATACTTCAATTTTAAAAAATACAATAAATTCCCAGTTTAATAATTTCAAAATCCATGTCATATCTGAGTTTGATGTTTACACTGTCTCTTCAGGCTGTGTTTTTTCTTGCCTTGGAAACCTTTGTTGAAATCTAGGCATGATGTATCAGGTATTAGGATCTGAGGTAATAGGCCTTTGGTGTGAGATTTTATGTTAATCTTGCTAGGAGTAAGCTGCACTTCATGTTTTATATATATATATTTTTTTTATATATATGTGTGTTTTATTTATATTTTTATCTTAATTGTATATACTTTTCTAGTTAGACCATAACGCACACAATTCTCAAGGTGTTGCTTGCCTGAAGGCTGGACTCGAGGTCGGGGACTCAGAAGGCAGCGACATCGTCACAGTGTCCAGTGTCATAAATAGTCCTGACAGTGCTGTAGAACTGACCAGACCCAGGGAGTGGGTGCGAGTTCTCTGATGCTAGTGTGTCAATCAGCTGCAATGCAGAAATGGCCCTAGAGTTTCCTCTTTGCCGGCATGGACGCCCGTGTCCATGGTCCGGGGGCTCTGAGGTTTCAGAGTATGCGAGGCAACAGACTTGTATTGGGAGGTTGCTCGATGAGAAGAAGAGAGGAGCTAAGGGACGTGGGCAGCCTGGAGAGAGGCCTCCAGCAGCGGCTTGGCTCACCGAGCACATGTGATGGCCTGGTAGGAGCCATTTGCTGAGCAAGGCTTTCGGGCACCAGACGCAGGCCCATCCCTCAGGGGCCGCAGAGACATGTTGGTGGGGGACCAGCATGTACACAGAGACCACAGGAAGTGTGGGCAGTCAGCCTCGGGACACAGGAAGCATCCCTAACCCGCCCCAGGGTCAGGAGGGGCCCGATGTAGCCTCTCGGGACAAGCTGGCCGTCTCCTTGACACTTTCCTCGTTTGAATGAGTTACTCATTCTCATTACCCCAGGCAAATTCCCCTTCCCGTTTCCGGCCTCTGAGTGCTCTTTTTCTACACTCCAGGCCGCCAGTATCACACAAGAAGTGCCACCATCCTGGTAAGACTAGGTCACAGGATCCTTGTGGACGAGCCAGAGGAAGGAGGCTGGGGCCCAAGGTGCAGCAGGTGACTGCATCCAGAGGCTGCTGAGAGGATTCAGGCTTTCCTGGAGTTCTGTGCCCGAGAGCGCTCAAGCGTGCAGGGCAAGGGGGCAGTAGGACGTGTTAGGCACTGAGTCTCCAACGACCGTCCTTGAAACTTTGCCACAGGAGAAGTGGTTGAAGGAACTGGGGGTGTTTGTCTTGGAGAAAGCATGACATGATTTCTGTCTTCAAGTATTTGAGGGGGTGTCATATGAAGGAGGAAGTAAACTTACTTAGGATAGTCCCAGAAGGCACAGTTTGGACCAAAAGAGGAAAGTTACCAAAAGGCAGATTTTAACTTAATAGGGAGAAATGAGTAAAACCTATGAACAGCCTGTTAAATCTATATATATAAAAATATGAATACATACACATACTAAACATACGGAAAAAATTCAGCCTCCTGCTAAGCAGAACTGCAACTTTAAATAATTTGATATCATCTCCTCTTGCCTACTAAATGGCAAAAATG